CAGTGTGACCTGTGACTGCACTATTCATGTTGGACTTTAACAAAATATTCCTGAAGGTGAGGATAGTTGTCAGTGTGCTTTCTACATATCAAACAATATTTGAAAGTTTTCAGATCTTCCACTGGAGAGCAGAATTTGGTTGCTTGAAAATCTTTATGTGTTTGTAGATGCTTTTCAGGACATTAGATAGCAATCTAAGTAATGTTTCTAGGTTACTCTGACACAAGTACAGGATTCTCATCTGATTTCTAGTAAGTGTTCTTAGTATTTTTACTGTCACAGGTTCAGAAGAAAGGAAAAAGAAAGGCCCAGAATTGAAATGTCTAGCTTGGTTCTTCAGGGAAGGCATGCATGTACCTAAGAATAAGCTGCTATACATTGTTAAAAGGATGCCAAGGGCAAAAGAAGGAGCACAAGCAGGATGGTAGTTCTGAGTCATCATAATCCAGTGGTATCAGCATTTAAAGTGATGTGTCTTGTAACAAGGCAGAGAGTAGAGAAAAGACAAAAGAGCATCTCAGCTCTACATCCTACAGCTGGTAGGATTTCCTGTATTCTCATTTTGATTATGTCCAAAGCAATACTTTTGGGGAATCTCTTTTGTGTCAAACGAGAGAGGGAAAGAGAGGTAGGAGGTTTTTTTCTGCCATCCGCCTCCCTTTATTTCTCATCAAACATTTGGTCTTTGAAGTAGTTTAAATTTGGTTAAAAGTGAAAAGTGTCAATGCAAGCTTTTGATTAAGACAGATGATAATTTTACATTAATAATCCACCTTATAAAAACATTCTGAAGCAGTTTCTATTCTAGTACCATCAGGGAGGGGAAAAGGAATGCACTGTAAATGAAAGCAGTCCCCAGTAGTTACGGTGCTGCAAAAACCATCTCTGCATTTTGCTTCAGGCCTACATTCCCCTTGAGCTGCTTGCTTGTAGTGGTGTCAAGGTAATAACCCTCCATAGTGGAAAAAACACTCTGTATGTATATGAGCATCACAAACCACTGGGGTCAACTGACTGAATTATGTATGTTTTTCTAGGGATGCAGAAGTTTTCTTGCAAGTTACATGCAGCTATGGTTGCATGCTACACCTTCAGGAAATAAAAGCATTAAGGGAGGACACAGCTGTTGTTTCAGCTAAATTGCTCTGTTATATGTATATATTAGCGCTCATCTTGGTGTCATCAGATGCTTAGTGAGATCCAAGGAAGACTGGTGCAGACAGCTAAAGCGAGTTGGAAGCTTTAACATAAGGCTGCATCTTGACCTGGCACTGAAGGATGAATCAGTCCATCTCTTATTTAAAATAATATGCTGGACATTGGTCAAAAATATTACTGATATGAACAAATGGCATAGTTGATAGAACATTCTGTTGCTAATACAATACCTCGGTATTTTTACTTAGTTTGGTAAAGTCTTTTTTCTTGATTAAAGCTGGCAACTATAGGGATAAAAGCATGTCTGAATTACTGTATCTGATAGGTGTTCTAATGAAATGTGTTCCTCAAAGGCTTGAATCCTACCCTTTTCTGTAAGAGCTGTGACTCCTCAGAAGGGTTGACTGATTTCAGGAGAGATTGTAAGACACCTGCTCCAAGTACACTGACGATTGAACAGGTCTGGAAATAGTATTTGAGCTTCCCAGCTTACAGCCCAGCATTTTAAGGAAATTTGAATTTGCTGTTCATTTGCCTTAAACCGTTAGCAACAAAAGTAACACAGAAGGTGCTTAAGCAGCAACACAAGCATCTGCTTCATTGAGGAGTAGCTGACTGCCCGATGGAGTAATGTGGTGGTTGAAGTCCCCCATGAGAACAAGGGCCTGCGAATGTGACGCTTTTCCTATCTGTCTGTAGAAAGTTTCATCTGCAGAGTCCTCTTGATCAGGTGGTCTGTAACAGATCCCCACAGTAATGTTTTCCATTGCTGTTCTCCCTTTAACCCTGACCCACAAACTCTCTGTTAACTGCTCACCTGTCCCCAGACAGAGTTCCGCCTATCCCTAACATAAATAGTAACTTCCCCTCCCTGTCTGCTGGGACTGTCTTTTCTAGAGTCTGTAACCTTCCATTCCAACACTCCAGTCATAGAAGCCATCCCACCATCTTTCTGTGATGCCTATTATATCATACCCCTATAGAGGTGCACACATCTCTAATTCCTCGTTTATTCCCCATACTATGGGCATTTGTATAGAGGCATCTGAGCTGAGCTCCAAATGAACCCAACTCATTGGCTGGAGCAGCTGAAATAGCTCCGTGTCGCTCCAAGCATTTATTACATGTGCTGGCAATTGACTGGGAGTGCTGGGATGGAATGATGCCCCCTTCCCCCAGCACATCTCGTTTAAAGCTTTCTTGACCAACCTGGCAAGTCTCCTACCAAAGCAGCAGGCCAGCTCCACCAGCCTCCAGTAGACCTGGCCTCCCAAATCGAGTCCCATGTTCTAAATAACCAAACCCCTTCCTATGGCACCACTTTTCTAACCATTTATTAACCTGGCAAATCCTCCTAGCCTTTTTAAGGTCCTCCCCTTTGACCTGGAGAATTGATGAAAAACCTGTCTGAGCCCCAGAGCCCCTAACCACCTCTCCCAGGGCTCTGTAGTCCTTCTTAATGATGCCCAGGCTAGTGCTGTTAGTATCACTAGAACCCACATGGACCATGAGAACTGGGTAATAGTCAGCAGGACTCACTAGACCAGTCAGCCTCTCAGCAACATCCCTGATCCAAGCCCTTGTGAGGCAACACACGTCTGTTGAGACTGGGTCAGGCCGACACATGGGTGCCTCTGTGCCTTTCAGAGTAGAGTCACCAACTACTGTGATCCACCACTTTTTCCTGGAGACACCAGTAGTGATCTTCTTTACCGGTGCATCAGCTGGTTTATTTGGTAAGGTATGTGTTTCCTTGTTAGGCCCCCGCAGAGCTGTGAAGCAGTTCTGGGTGGGGATGTCAAATTTTGGAGGAAGCCCCTTGCTATTAATTGTCCTCTTCCTCCTGTGCCATTAAAAAATAAGGATTGGGATGCTAATCTTCCAGTGCCTCAGATTCATTTTCTCCTTAAAGATGGGAAGACTATTTGCATATACATTGATTAAATGGAATGCATTTGTTGTTTCAGCTGCATTCACAGTGAATTGTTATAATTCAGTCTAGGCTGTGTAGGGTCCTGAGGGAAAACAACCAAGTGCAATATATAAATACATCATTAAAAATAACTGAAGTGTAGTAACAGCTGGAAAATAACCATACAAGTTGAATCTTTAGTAGATTTTATGTAAAAAGGGAAAGGGGAAGAAAACCTGAAACTGAATTCTGAATTGCAGGTTAAACTGGATGCTAAGTATAGGAGGAAACACATTTTTATTTGACCACTGATTTACAATTATTTTTAGGAGCTCTCATCAAGCAGCCTTGTTTATAGAATGTACACTTGTAACTGAGTAGTCCTCTTTTTTCTCCCAGTCCTTCATTTTTCCTAGTATTTAAAGAGAGATTAAATTTAATCAACATTCTCTGTCACCACTGAAACTAAAGTAGAAAAGGTCAATTGAGTCATCCAGTCAGATCTCCTCCTAAATAACCTTTGATTAACTTTTCATTTGTGGGTAGAGTTTGCTTGCCTCGTGTTTCTTTGATTGCCAAACCCCCCAACAAATGAAACCCTAGAAACCAGCTGCTGTGACATTGAGGTATTTGATTTGTGTGAGAAGGTTGTGTTAAACTTCTGCTACTCTCTTTTTTTAGAAGCTGCCAGTCTGCAGTGCAAGGTAGGGAACAGCTGAACAATTAAAACTTGGCTGTAATAAAGCACTAATGTGGTAACACATATGTTCACCTTTAAGAAAGAATTATTCCATATTTATTCCATGGTAACAATAAGTTGTTGTTGGTTTTCTCAGTTTACAAGTCGAAAGGCAGATTTTTAGCACATCAGCCCTCAGTCTGAGCTTCATTGCCCACTTGCTATGTACCAGCCCTATGGCAAATGCCATATTCAAGGAACAACCCCACATACTGGTAGAGGAAGGGTGCATCTCAAAAATGCCCAAAATCTATCATAACTAGCTCGAGCATTCCCACTGACCAGAGAGGTTAGTGAAAGTGCGGATTATAAACCTAATTTGAAAACAGGCCTCTTAATATTCAGTTTATATTTATGTCAAAACCAGTTGAGACATACGATATTTTTATGATGATTAACAATGGGAAATGATAGAAGTCTTGAAGTTTGATGTAGATAAGTACCAGAAATATGGATGTCAATCCCTCCTATGCATACCTCTTGACCTTTGCAAAATTTCTGGTTCTTCAGACCTTGAGGAAAGCTAGATATGTATTCTCATTTTGCACTTTGTTCCCGCTAGGCTTCACAAGACCAGAGAAAAAAAAAATACTTACTCATTTCTGAGTTTCCTCACAGAAGGGTAGTTTAGGTTGTGGGGGTTTTGGTTTGGTTTGTTTGTGTTTTTTTTTTTTGCTATTGTGGTTTGGTTTTGGGAGGGGGGGCAGTTTGTTTTGGTTTTTTTTTCTGTCTGCTTTACTCACTATTTTGGTAGCTACAAAGCTAGAATAGATCTATATGCTTGGTTTAATAACATAATTCTGGTCTGGGTCATGTGAATCTTCTAGGTCTATTTTTTTGGCACAAATTGCATGAATTTTCAGACTTTTCTTATTCTAGTCTGTGAGGTTAGTAAGCTTCTGTGGCAAGCTTAGTGATGGATGCCTTGGAGACCTGTTCACTAATTACATTCTGAATTTTTTCTCAGACTGTCTGGCTCTTTGTGGTAGGTTGTGAACTTGATCCCCAGCATCAAACATTAGCAACTCAACTGTAATGAAATAAGAAGCTGCTTACTGCATGACATGAAAAGGCTGCACTTAGCAGTTTTCATGTGGTGATGCTAAGCAGGTTTGGAGCCGGAGTGATGCTTGGCAGTTTCGTTGTTCAGATAGTTTAATCAATACCACTGCAACTTTTTCTCAATGCTAGAATCCTGCCAAACATCTGGCTGGGAAGTTGCCCTCGGCAGCTGGAGCATGTGACCATCAAGCTGAAGCATGAGCTGGGTGTTACAGCTGTGATGAACTTCCAGACTGAATGGGACATTGTTCAGAATTCCTGGGGCTGCAACCGCTACCCGGAACCCATGAGCCCTGAAATCCTCATGAAACTGTACAAAGAGGAAGGTCTTGCCTATGTTTGGATGCCAACCCCTGATATGAGCACTGAAGGTGATAATGCTTAGGCCATTCTTTCAGTAAATTAATACTGATCTGCCAGCTTAATGAATGCTTTGGGGTTGTTGTTTTGGGTTTTTTTTTGTTGTTTAAATTTTGCATAAAAATACAGCTAACACACAAGGTCACAAGGTACAATTTCTCTGTGTATTGTCTCTAACAAATCATTCGTATTTTCTTCTAGGCAAAGATGCCATTTAAAGTACTTTGTGTCTGATAGTGCATGCGTATTTGAGTTTAAAGCCATCTGACATTGATAACTATTTGCCTGGTTTTGGTTTGAGCCTGAATTCATTCCGTGTAATGAAAGTATGCTCTGTACGTGGAAGACTGCAAGCTTGCGCAGCAGGACAGCTTGCTATCCTTGCTGGTTAAAAATGAAGAGACAGTGCTTTATGTCTGTCTCTGCTATTCCCTTTTCCCCCAGAGTAGTTTTTTCTTTAGCTGTAGTACCCCAGTCTGATGAATCTCCATACAGTCATTTGTATAACTATTTGAAATTAATTTAGAATATGCATAGCACCTGACGTTGTAACATAAGTTACTATTTTTAATTCCTCCATTGGAATGCTCAGTTCAAAATCTTGTTTCCAACCAGCAGGTTAGAATGTGTGCATGTTGTCAAATGAGTAACCTACCAGCAGAAGAGTGCCTTCAACAGAGTGAAATACTGCTTCCACAAACAGAGCTGTCATATCAGTAATAGGACATCAGGGGAGAGAGGAGCCCTTAAAACAGGGATTTGAAAGGTCTTAATGTCAGTGCTAATCTGTGCCATGAGGAAAAGTTAGGTTCTGATGTTTCAGTTCACAGGGTAACAGGGAGAAAAGGCATCAGAAAATATGGTATATTCATCCCTTTGGGAGTGAGAAAAGCTATTCTGTGTTGTTTAACCATATGCTTAGTACACAATTTAATTGTATCAATATTAGGTTGATAGGAAAATACTCTTTGCTCTCCCTCCCTTATTATTGACATAAAGGCCTTTATTACAATGTTTTGAAAAGCAGTGGTACTGAAAAAAAACCCCAACATTTCATCTTTGGCCTGCTAACTTTAACACTGTCTAAGATGCACTCTTTGATGTAGTTTGCTACCTTGTCTCAGTTCCTGTGAAAACAAATATGCCACCCTCCCAGTGTTAATCAGAATGTATATTTAGAGAAGACTTGGGGCATTTTATAGATTTTTGGATGAGAGTCTATGTTGCAAGAAAAAAATAAGGGTAGAAGGTCATTAGAAAAAAAAACACCAAACCCCTAAGTATGTCAGGTTTGCCATTACAGTTCACAGTTCATCAGGCTGTTCAGGCATAATCTCAACCCTAAGCCTAACTTCCTCAAATGCAAATCAACATGTCTTGTTTTTAACCTTAGGAAGAATACAGATGTTGCCACAAGCTGTCTGCCTCTTGCACGGGCTACTGGAGAATGGACACACTGTCTATGTTCATTGCAACGCTGGTGTTGGCAGGTCTACAGCTGCTGTCAGTGGCTGGCTGAAGTACGTGATGGGATGGAGCCTGCGAAAAGTTCAGTACTTCTTGGCTTCCCGGAGACCTGCTGTCTACATAGATGAGGAAGCTCTTAATAGTGCTGAAGATGATTTCTACCAGAAATTTGGGCATCTTCGTTCCTCATGCAAAATACAAGAGTAGAAAAGCAGAAGTGGGAAAGGAAGGTGAGGAGGAATCCTTACATTTGAGCCCCAAGGACTTAGAAATCATGAGTCAGATACTTGCCTCTCCTCTTCAAATTATAAACTTGTCATAAAAGTCATGAGAATTTTGTTAAATAAGTGCCTTTGAGGGCTTTTTATTTGCTTTCTTCAAGCTGGTATAATTCATGTTTTCAAGCCTTTTGCTGCAAGTGTGAGACTTAGAAACTCTGCAAAGGGAAACTAAGATTTTCTTTAACTGCTTGCCTACAGGAGCTGAATTTTTAGGGTATGCACTAAATAAGATGTGAGGTGAAATAGCTAGGCTTGGCAATATTTCAGTGACAAGAAAGAGAAGGCATTCTCAGAAAAACACATACAGAGTTTGACTAGATGAAGGTTCAAATTAGGATGGATCTGATCATTGTCAAAGCAGTTGTTTTAGGTGGAGTGTACACTACTGAAGTGTTTTCTGTTGATTTTGTAGACAAGTAGTATTAATGAAATAGACCAGAAGGAAACTAATTTTTCAACTCAGTTTCTTAACCAAAAGCTAATGTCTAATGCAGTGAATTAAAATTTGCTCTCTGCCTATCTAGATAATGTTAAAACTATGAGTTACAGATACATTCTTTTATACCATTGGGGTTATGCTGGGATGTGACATGAAGAGAGGAATCAGCTCCATTTATTGCAGTCCACGGTGGTGCAGGCAAAGACTGCTATTTATGACATTATCCTAGGCTGTGAGATATCTATTTTAAAGATACATTTTTGCTGCTCTGGTCCTTGCAGTGCTGTGCAGTGGGTTTCCTATGTGCTAAGTCAATCTCAGCAGTAACCACTGGGCTAAAACAGGAACTATAGGAACTATATGACAAGCTTTGACACATGATTGACACCATAGCCTCTTGTGTTGTTGGCCTAGATTAATTTATGCACTATAGCAAAAGTCTCTCCTTGTGCAAGTGGCGTATAGATGTTCACAGATGCAGATTTAGACAGTTGAAACTATCTGTGGGGTGACTAAATGAATACCTTTCCCTATAGGAGCAAAGAGCAACTCTGAGTAGGTTTTTTTAGGAGCTTAGCCTTAGTAGGCTAATGTTGGCTTTTGGAAGATCCCTAATGTTTTCCAGTGCGGCTTAGTCCCTTAGTTAAACTAAGCAGTGGCACCAACGCCTTCCAGCCCTACTCAGATAAACCCAATTTGCTGTAGGTTAAGTCCAAAGAGAAGGGAGAGAAAGCATTTTGTAGGGAACAGAGGATTAGCAATGTATAAACATTAAGAAACCTAATTTCTATAGGTTTATTCTTCAGTGAAATCTCATTTTTTCCACCCAACTTATTCCTCTAAAGACCCAGTCAGTGCCAGAGTAGTTTAGCTGATATATATTGATTATCTGAATACTTAATGGAGAAACTATTAGCTATGAACTGTTTATGGAGAATGTCCAGAATAATATACTACATTTCATTTATCCTATACTTCAGTCACCTTCAAAAGGAAAATATTTATTTAAGTTATTCTATGTGTGTGGTTTTGATCATGACTTTGTTTCTGATTTTTTGAAATAATACTTCCTGTTTAGAAAATGAATGAAAGTCATTCTCTGTTAAATAAATGCATTATGACAATTCCAGGAGCCCATTTTTTCCTATATCTTTGTCTCCCAATTTCATGAGTAGCAAAGAGGGTTGTGACTGATATTTCTGTATAGAGATAGGACCAGCCACTTTAATGGTAACAGCTCATTTCTTGTCTGCTATGGTGTGCCAGTTTTGATGGGCTGTTGTGGAGGGACTCTCAAAATAACAGCACAGCAAAGATGTGTGCATGATGTGGCACCTACAAAGGCAAAAGAAAGAGGTTTCTTCTCCTAGCCTGATGCAGAGAGCAGAGGGAATGTGTCAGTGCTGCTGTCTGGCTGTTGGGCTCTTGTGTGAATGTGCAGAACTACAGATGACTGTGCAGGAGTTACCTTGTTTTGACTGAGTTTAAGGTAAAAATGGTGACCTTTTGCTACCACATGCTTCTCAAAATCAAGTGCTGAGAGGAGGAGGATGTCATGAGAAGTACAGAGTAGAATTTGCTTAAGTTTATATTTCTGTTGAGATGGATTTGAAACCCTAAGCTTAAAATGTGTTTCCAAGCATCACCAACATACAGTCCTTTCCATCAGATGCAGCTTGTAATATATGCTGGGACAAGTATTTGTGGGTTTGGTTCTTGTTTCACACCTAATTATATTTCTCTTTCAGGCCTGTTGGGGCTGAACAGTGCAAAACCTGACACAAACAAGTAAATATATGACTAGGTATAACTGTGCTGTGTCAGTTATTGCCTAATTCTGATTTTACTGGGAGTGGAAGCAGATTGGTGCATGATTTACAGAGCAGGAATTCAAACACTACGGAAGCCACAGATTCAAGGAAGCCCTAGCAAGAGGTTGTTAATTCATTGTTTATTGTCATTTCAGTGAGGAGTTATTGATTCATTGTTTATTGTCGTTTCATTTTGCTTGACTGCTGAACTGCTGGGGCTATATCATATACAGATTGCATTAGCTGGTGAACTGCATGAAAACAACTTGCCAACACCATGTTAACAAGGAATGCAAAGAGATACCATGGCTTGAAGCCGCTTTGTGCCTATTTGTAGCATGCTTTTCATGATGGCCACCTTCCTGCCTTCCTCATTGGAGGCCACCCTGTTGACTAACATTCATCCAAAGCCTTGTCTGTTGAATACAACTAGGAATATAAATGCTAAAGAGATCATTGCAAGAGGCTACGGCAACAGAAAAGGCTATCATATAAAAATATTCCATTTCTCCCAGTGTATAATTACATAATAAATCTGCATCTAGAGATTATCTATTAAAATTCCAATTTGTAATATGTTCTTATGCTGATTGGATCATTAGCTCTTCCCATAGAGTAGTCTCTTGATGCGATTTGGATGAAAGGATGAAAACAGTCTGTTGTTTATACTTGTATATTTCCTTGCTACTTTAGTCATAAAGTGCTACAAAATGTAGAGAAGAATAACTCTTACAGAAAGAATTAGAAATAGATAAACAGTAAAGGTTTTTTTTTAAAGTGGGCCCAAGAATCCAAACTAATACACAGATGATAATGGGAACCAGATAGAAATATTTTGATAACTCATCACTGAAAAGCATCACTTGGGGAAAATGGTTTCCTGCTGGTATGAGCATCTCTGTTGTATTCTCTGCCCTGTTACAGACAGGTTTTTATCTCTGTGAAATTAAAAAAGAAAGTAGCATTTGCTGCACAAACTGGGAACATTTATGAGTCCAGGTACTTAGAGTATCTCAATGTCATTATTAGGCCAGACAATAGTATATATTCTTTCCCAAGGAGCTAAGAAATACTAGCTCTTACAAGTGATTTTGTAACAAACACAGCCTTTGAGGGATGAGTTGGGTTTTGAGTGGTGCTGTTTTGTGAATATTTTTCCCTTTGACTGGGCTGGCTGGCGTGACAGTTGAATAACTTCCTTTCTCCTTTACTCCTTACTTATTTCACACTTTCAGCTTTGGTCCCTTTGGCACTCATCTGCTCTGGCTGCTTAGGTTGTGAGTCTATGGTCTTCTCTCTCTGTACCACACCAAGCACAGTGAAACTCTGGATGTGGCTGGAATTGCAGGTTTTGTACCAGGCTGTACTCCAGAGCAGCTGGAAAGTCTGACACCAAAGTTGTGTGTGCTGCATAAAAACATACGCAAAACAGTGTTTCTGATCTGGAGTGGAATTAAATTTTGAGACTGACAGCCAAGCTTTTTCGGGCAAAGATAAAGGAAAGAGATTGGTGCAGGAGCAGGTAATAAAATCCCAATTTAAAACAAGAATGCAAAAAGCCAGACTTACTCTATTACCTACTATGATGTTCTTTTTGAGTTCTAATTTACAAAATCCTCTGACTTCACTGGTCTGTAACGGAGAAAAAAATAAATTACCTGAAGTAGCCAAAAAACACTTGCCAAACTGTATTATCCTGTTGCTTCTTTTATTCTTCATCATTAAATTGCAATGAGAGGTTTCAAACCAATGAAAAAGTTAACAAAAAATAAATGATTCTTAAAAAAATGTGCTGGGACTGTGCAACAGGAAGCATATGAAGAAATATTTAGGTGTGTAATAACTATTGCAAAAGCATATATTTGGCAAACAAGTGCTACCTTATTGAGGGGTAATGAACATCAGGCAACTCTTAGCTGAAATGGAATTGGATTAATGTAGCAAAAGACAGAATATAGATTACTCTCTCCATCTCTAACATTCTCAGTGGTAAATCAACAGCTCTGCAATATTTCTTTAAAAATGCTTTGGAAATAAATGTGGTTTATTTTCCTCATATATATAGCTTAAAGGGAAAGGGGCTGCTCTGAGGGGGCAGACTTCGGAATGGTGAAAATATAACGGAATTAATCCTTTTTCTGTTGCTCAGCAACACAATGACATCACCACCAGCAAGACCAAGCAATATGACTTCATAATTTACCTTCTTCCTAAATTAACAGAGGAAAGCAATTTTTTTCAAGTGTAATGCATAATTGAATGATTGTGATATAAGCAACCCAAAATACATGTTGTTGGCTCTTCAATTTTGCTAACAGTGAACCTATAGGGTGTTTATTCTTAATTAGACATATTCTCCTCTTGGACCACCCTTTCACCTCAAGTTCCTTCATTGCAGTCTTGACTGGTTGACAAATGGTTCTGTGGATAACAATTGTCACATTTGTAAAGATGAGTAATAAGTATTTTATTAAAACTTTTTATATAGCAGGGCTTGTCTGGGGATAAAGAAACAAGATCTGTTATACTCTATTAATCAAGGATGGTGACATTGTGAACCTTAGCCCTATATAGTTCAACCTTTTTGTGCTTAAACAGGTTGTCTTATTTGGGAGATTGAATTTATAAAGATTGCAGGATAATGCCTGTGCTTTGATAATTACTTCAATGCTGATGTTATATTTGCATCAAGAAAAACAGAAGGCCGGTTTATTCATGAGCTGGTAAAACATCAAATGATATCTCATTCTTGATTTAGATGATATGAGGAAAAAGTATAAAACAGCAGCCAAGGAAAGATTTCTAATGCTGGGCAGGTTTCTATGGTCTTTACTTAATGTCATTATAAGAAAATTTATTTTGTGGTAATGCAGTTTCAGCAGGGAAATAATTAACAGGCCGTCATCCAAGGGTAGCAGCCATTGTTAAAGCTGGGCAGCCAGCCCGAAGTCACTGCAACAAATCAAATGATGCAAATGAATCCAATTTTCAGAAATTCAATAAGATACATAAACACAGAGGTTAAGAAATGTATATAAAGATTGCATTTCAGAAAGAAAAGTAAAGTATAAAGCTAGCTAATGTCAAAGGGAAAAATATTTTGTGGTGGGATAGCAAATAACACAATTCACTTGAAAACATAGTCAATGTGTTAAAGTATAGCTGTTATTTAAACTTCCTTAACCAGTTAAAGGGGTACCACCGAACTATTTACTTACAACATTTAGCTATATAAAGAAAAAAATGTGGAAGGGTAAGCTCTGAAGAACATAGACCAGTTGGATACCCTCTCTTGGGCAACTAACTCATGGGGCATACTTGAGCTGGTGAAGCTTCATGAGCATAAAAGTGGTTGATGGTGCATGGTGGTTTGACAGTCAAATCCCTCACACAGAGATGTGTTCTAGTGGCTCCACCCACAGAGGCTGTGTGGGCATATGTGAGCACTTGGTCAGATGCTATTTCAAGTACTTTGCAACTCTGTGTTAACATAGTCTAAATGGCTGGCTGAAATTTCACTGGGAGCTCCTTGCCCATGGCGCCAACATACTTCCCTGGCACTTGCGTGAGTATTGCAGTTTGATGGCACTTACAGGCAACACAGCATCTAACAATAAGAACCAGGACTCTCATCCAACCTTCTTCCCAGCTGAGATATCTTACTTAACTGGAATAAGATTGCATGAGCAGATGCTGTCATCTTCAGTCAGACTTGTCATAGTTTTCTTGGTTTCTTATATGCCACTTTCCATCCAAGTGATCTGTGCAGAGAATAATGAGAGCAATCGTGATAAGGTGTTCTCAGCACCACTGAAAATCTCATTTGTGGTGTGGTTTGAGGTTTTTTTAACGATTTTTTTTTTTTAATATAACTTGATTTAGATGCCCAGCTATGGGCAACTAAAATAGAAAATGCTGTTCTGAATTTTTTACATCTCCTACTCTTCCTAACTGGTTAAAAAATGCATTATTCTGCAGTAATTTTCATGCAAAGGACTACAAAGCATTTGATAATAAAAGCATTTCATCTAGCAATAGCTAGGTGTACTGGACCACCAGAGAAAGATTTAGAAGCAGGAGCAGGAAAACAAGTGAACTGCAAAAAGGAGTAGTCTGCTGAGATGAGGCAGAGCAAGTGGCCAAGTGGCCTTCCTTCCAGTGCTCTCACGTCACATGGAAAGCCAAGGAGAAAGTGAGGGCTGGTGATGCTGGCTGAGGACAGGGAGGAGAAGCAGTCCAGGCAGAGTTGTGTGATCCAAGAGCATCTAGGAAATAATAGGCAGGAAGTGGGGCAAAGGCTCAGAGGAGAGCTGTGAGCAGG